TACTTACTTTGTGCTCTATAGCTCTAATTGCAGTGCTTTTCGTATTTGTGTGTAGAGTGTTCGAAATTAGTGTATTTAGCGCTTTGTTTTTTCAATGTTTTTCCTTTATATTATATAGCATGCTATAGATTATACTTACTTTGTGCTCTATAGTTCTAATTGCAGTGCTTTTCGTATTTGTTGTAGAGTTTCGAAATTAGTATATTTAGCGCTTTTGTTTTTTCAATGTTTTTCCTTTATATTATATAGCATGTTATAGATTATACTTACTTTGTGCTCTATAGTTCTAATTGCAGTGCTTTTCGTATTTGTTGTAGAGTGTTCGAAATTAGTACATTTAGCGCTTTTGTTTTTTCAATGTTTTTCCTTTAGTATTTATATGCTATAGATTATACTTACTTTGTGCTATAGTTCTAATAGTGCTTTTCGTATTTTTAGAGTGTTCTATACATTTAGCGCTTTCACTACCAAAAAAAGGGCTATTCACCACGGGTTGAGAGTCCGTAACAATAAAATCGTAACAAATAGATATATTAGTTACGACAAAATCCGTGACGAAAAAAAAAAAAACCCGGTCAACGTTTTAGGTTCTGTCGTTACGCAAAAAATATCGTAACAAATATGAGATGGTAGAATTTGGTCAAAATAACATTAGTTACGTAAAGTGTTCGTAACTACTGGTATTTAATTTTTTATTTTTGGAAAAGTTAAATTAAAAAAAAAAAAAAAAAGTAAAATACTGGATTGACGCTTTCATTCCAGAAACGATCAAAATGGACAAAAACGCTATATCATCCCACACTTAGACAAATTAGGGCATCTGGTTCATTTCCCTCGTTCGCTTCTCACAGTCGCCCGCGATCCGATTTCCTGTAGCTGCCGACGACGACGCGCGAGGTGAAATCGATCCGTCCCTGGGATCTACTCCGGCGCACCTCACCCAGGTAAGGTTTTGAAGGTAGCTCGAAAAAGATTTTGTATTACGCGAGGTATCTTCGACAAATTAGGGCATAATCTCATTTCTCCCTTGTAGAAAACTCGATCGAGTTTCCTTCCTCTGAACCTGCAGGACGACGAGCATTGTGAAATCAACGGAAACGAGGGATCTACTCCGGCATCTAGGTAAGGTTTTTAAGTTTTCTCCCGAAAGATTTGGTATTACTCCAAAGTTCTTCGCCTCTTTCTCGGTATGGATATAGTCTTACATTTTAACTCCATTTGTTTGGGCTTTATCGTGTGTTACATTTGAGGTGAATTTGTATTCCTTTGTCCAGAAGGAGAGTTTTTTTGGTTGAATTTATTTTTTTGATATTTATCTTTAATTTATAGTTAAACACCAAGTGCAATGCTTTACTGTATGTTAAATTTATGAGGTATTTCTTTGTTCTGGTAGCTTAAATGTTAGATTAAAACATATTAGCTCAATCCTCTTGCTAATTTGTTCAGAATACAAAGTAATACATTACGTCAGGAAACTTAATTCGGCTGTTGGGAAGCATTTAACAAGATTTATGAATTGCGAAATACCTCAAGTTGCATGCTTCTTGAATTGCAGTTCAGTTTTCTGATCGTAGGTAATTTACTATCAGATTTCGTTATCCTGCATTTGTAGTATGCGTATACACATACAGTCACCCATACATATATTCATTATAGCATTTCTATAAATTAAGGATAAAATCCAGGGCTTATTTACACTTTGCATTGAGAGTAGGGAGTAGAGAGTAGAGAGTAAAGGATGAGGGCGAGAGTAGTAATGTGAGAAGAAGATGATGCAAATGCAGTTTTGGTGGAAACAGATACAGTGAATCTTGTGGCTTTGGTGCTGTGTACTATTCCTATTTGTATCCCTCTAATTGGGGTAGAGAGCCATTTCTGTACCTCTATATATATATATGTATATCTATCTCAAAATTCTTATAGTACACGTCTTCCATCTCAATCTCCATCTTCCAGTCCCATATAGATAGATAGATAGATAGATATAGTGGTTGCAGCATACACACGGATGTCCCCCCCATGCTCCCCATGTCTTGTCAATTTCAGAAACTTTTTCACTTCTTTCTCACTCTCTCTTGCTGCTGATGTGTCTATTTGTGACGGCCCAGCATTTGTGACGGGAAATATATCCATATAATACTATTTACATTGCATCTATGGAAGATTTTTAAGTGGTGAGGGCTGCTGATTTTGGTCCATGTGCCTTAATGTTGTGATAAATTATAATGCTAGCGTCATGAAGAGCATCCATGTTTCCTATTATATCGGTGAAGGTTATGTTGTACTTATATGTTTTTGGTTGCATGTTTTGTTGATGGAATCGCATGTATATTATATTGCTAGATGGATAGGAGTTGGATAGACGATGCGAACCATATCTCCGCTCAATATTTGGACGGGGTCAGGGCTTTCTTAGATTTCGCATTTAAAGATCGTAGCTCTGAATCTTGCATCTATTGCCCCTGTACATCTTGCGGAAATCGCTTAACAAAATCTCGTAGAGATGTCTTGCTCCATTGTATTCGTTATGGATTCGACCAAACCTACAAGGTTTGGACTTGCCACGGAGAAGGAGAGGTGAACCCTGCTGTTGCAAACGACAATATGCCAATGCGTTGGGAGGAGGAACTAGAACTTCTATTGCGAGAGTGTGCATATACAGAGCACACCGATCCGGGGCCCAGTGGAAATGAACCTCATAGGGATGACGAAAATGAACATATACATCATGGCAGTAAGGGGTATAGAAAGATGTTAGAAGATGTAGAGAAAGAGCTCATACCAGGGTGCAAGAAGATGAGTAGACTCTCGTTTATCGCACGGCTTTTGCACTTGAAGGTTTTGTGCCACTGGTCTAATAATTCTATTGATTTGCTGTTAGAGCTGTTACGGGATGCACTTCCAGACGATGTTGTCCTTCCGAAGAACTTCTATGAGGCTAATAAGCTGACCAAGGACTTGGGGTTCACATGCAAGACTATCCATGCGTGCATCAACAATTGCATGTTGTTTACCGGGGAAGATGTTGACCGTGAGGTTTGTGTTGTGTGTGGGGAAAAGCGATTTACACAGGGTAAAGATAGATCTCCAGTGAAGAAGTTAAGGTACTTTCCATTAATTCCGCGATTGCAGCGATGGTACGTATCTTCCAAAACTGCATCTTCTATGAGATGGCATGCCGAAGGGCGTGTAGACGATGGCAAGATGCGTCATCCAGCAGATAGTCCTGCGTGGAAGAGTTTCGATCATCGGTACCCGACGTTCTCTGAGGAGATTCGCAACGTACGCCTCGGTCTGGCCACTGACGGTTTCAACCCTTTTGGGAATATGAGTGTGAGTTATAGTATTTGGCCCGTCGTACTTGTGATATATAACCTACCTCCGTGGCTGTGCATGAAGCAACCATCGTTCATCCTCTCTACGATTATAGACGGCCCGCATGGCCCGGGGGATCGGATTGATGTCTTCCTTCAACCTTTGATCGATGAGCTTAAGGAGCTTTGGTATGATGGTGTTCGGACGTACGATGCGAGTACTAAGGAGGATTTCCAGATGCGAGCTGCATTGCTGTGGACTATTAGTGATTTTCCCGGTTACGGTATGTTGTCAGGGTGGCCGACTCGTGGGGCGAATGCATGCCCTGTTTGTGGTTTAAAAACTCATTCCAGATACCTGAAAAATGGACATAAGTATAGCTATTGCGGGCATCGACGGTTCCTGCCGGCTGGGCATAGAATGCGCTTTGATAAACATGCATTTGACGGTTCGATGAGCTTTGACGGAAAGCCTTCTCGCTTGACCGGCGCTGAACTTCTGCAGCAGCTTCAGGATATGCCTACTGAGTATCGTACGGTTGACTTGATTGAGAAACGCATTGCACAGGGGTCTCGCAAGCGTCGCCGGGGGGTGGACGGGCAGCAACAGGTGTGGAAAAAAAAGAGCATATTCTTTCAGCTCCCTTATTGGTCTGAGAATGAGGTACGTCACAACCTCGACTTGATGCACATTGAAAAGAATGTGTGTGAGAATGTACTGTATACATTGTTGGGAACTAAGGGGAAAACAAAGGACAATCTGAACACGAGGAAAGACTTACAGTTGATGCAAATACGTAGTTCTTTACACCCGGTATCGGGTCCTAGGGGCGCTATATATTTGCCGGCAGCTACGTACACCATGAGTAACCCCGAAAAACGGATATTCCTATCTGTGTTGAAGGACCTCCGACCACCTCATGGGTTCAGTTCAAACTTATCGCGTCGTGTGAAGGTAGAACAACAACTAATATGGGGACTTAAGAGCCACGATTGCCATGTTCTTATGCAACGAATTCTACCTATTGCTGCCCGACGGTATACCCTTGAAACGCAATTATTTTAATTAACATGATATATGCCTCCTCTAAATATAACTGAAGGTGCTGATTCAACACTTCCTGTAGGTGTCTTCCCAAAAATGTTGTGCTCGTGTTGATTGAACTTTGTAACTTCTTCAATTCGATGTGCTCAGCTCATAACACAGTTCGTGAACTGGAGCGAATCCAAGAAAGAATTTCTTTGACGCTATGCCATCTTGAAAAGCTATTCCCACCTTCATTCTTTGATGTAATGGAGCATCTGCCTATCCATTTGGCTGAGGAGGCTATGGTGGCCGGTCCGGTGCAGTACCGGTGGATGTATCCCATTGAGCGGTACTTGGGTACTCTGAAGAGGTACGTACGGAACAGGGCACAACCTGAGGGTTCGATTGCACGTGGATACCTCATGGAAGAATGCGTGACTTTCTGCTCAAGATATCTCGGAGACATAGAGACCAAAGAGAACCGGGCTGCTCGAGGGGAGGAGGACGGGACACAACACGGGAAAGGATTGTTTGGTTCTAGGTTCAATCTTGATTACAATACGATGCACCAAATTCATTGCTACATCCTAGGAAATATAGATGAAATCAGTCCGTTGCGAAGGTTTTTTCACATCAATTTAACAATACTTGTATGCGTATCCGACCTGTGTTGAATATCTTCGACTTTTATTTTTGCACTGTAGGATTCACCTTGATACTATTAGGTCATGTCGAACTCGCGCACCCCCACGTGAGGTGCACCAGCAGCACAACGAACAATTTGCGTCTTGGTTTCAATCATATGTGAGTACCGCCTACATCGTCCGTACGTGGTATCTTGACTACACTCCCAAAAAACATTGAAATCACGAGTGTTCATGAACTACTTTACATCAAATGTAGGTAGATGATCCGACGAATAATGATGAGTGCCCAATCTCAGCGGAGATCCGTGCATTGGCGGGTGGACCATTATGCAATGCAACACGGTACTCTTCGTGCATTGTGTCAGGAATACGCTATCGTGTTCAAGACCGGGATGCAAGGAAGAGGACACAGTGTGCAGGTGTTATGGTTACGGCAGATACAGTGAGTTATGCCTCAGCTAGGGACCATAACCCACGAGAAGGTTCCGTGGCATATTACGGGATTCTTACGGACATTGTGGAAGTGTACTATAGCAATCAACAGAAGTATCTCCTTTTAAAATGTGACTGGGTGGATCTGGAGAGGGGCGTTAAAGAGGATGAGTTCAAATATAAATGTGTGAACTTTAAGTATTTGATGTACCCCAAGAACTTGCCCACGGATGAGCCTTTCATCTTAGCGACCCAAGCCTCTCAGGTGTGGTACATTGCAGACCCGGTTGATGAAGGTTGGAGCGTTGTCGTTCCGGTGTCACGGCGAGACACGTATGACGTGTATAGTACGATCGATCATAGATTCAGCACAGGGTTACCTTTAGATGACGGAGGCAATGTTAGAGGAGCAGCCGATTACTGGCTAAGGGAAGGTATTGAGGGGCAAGTAGTAGAAGATGCAGGGCAGATGGACCATGCCGATACTTCGCCTTCGGATTCGGAGGAATCCTCCGAAGATGATGGTGCTTAGCGCAGAATCAAATAAGCGGGCATTTTTGGTAGTATGCGAATATAGCCTAATTGGCCCATTTTTGATGGTTTGGCAACCACGCAACCTTTTTGAGTTCGCAGTTCAGAATAAATTACACATCTCAACAGATGGTCATCTATGTGGGGAGGGGGGGTCGGTGATTGAAGTACGTAATAGGTAACCACTTTCGGACATGCATGCCATCGTTCATAGGCCCTGTTTTCGCTTGATTTGCTGAAGCACTTTGCATCCATTATGTGCGCGCAGGATGTTATGATTTTTTCCGAATATGTCAACGCGGATAAGCTCTTTACCCCCTTTGCGTATGCTGAAGCAATTTACCCTGATTAATTGCAGTAACTATTATGTGAATTTCTCGTAATATGTCACTTCATAAGCTTTGTTGTGATAAGTGTGTTTTGATTTTCTCCTAATATACGTTTTCATACTGCCAACTAACACTGGTGTCTTGCAGGTTATGGGCAAATCTCAACGTGTTGCCGTTGGAGGGTCACAGGATCCGGCAGTCTCTCCCGCAAGACGTTTTACCCGGGCATCCGCACGTAACAGCCCCCTAGAGGCAACTCATCCCGCAAGCAGGAATCCATCGCCCATCCGCAATCCCACAAAGAAAGTGACAAAACGGAAGGGATCTCGGGTCTCGCCACTGCTCCAGCGACTCCGGTCCATCACATCAGAGTGGGAGAAAGAGCGCGATGCTCGTGGTCAAAGCATGAAGCCAACATCTTCCACTCGAAGGGCAGTGCTTCAGGATTCAGAGGGCCCTTTGGAGGTAATGTGGTTCCTTTGCCGAAAGCATGTCCTTATTTGAACTCTCAGTATAACACTACAATAGGCTGACACTGTTAACCCCAACAGGAACATGATGATAGGGATGTTCCATCACTTTTTGATCCGACGGCACTGACACAGGATGACGATGATACAATCCCCCCCACACAAGCAGATGACGAGACACTTCCGCCGACGCAGGACATGGAGACTGCAGAGAGTGATATGCCACTCTTGGATGAAGGGCCAGGCTCCGACCCCACTCTGATGACAGGAACAGAGGCGGGCAATATGGCACCATTGGACGAGATGACATCGCACGACGGTTTGGAAATTAGCCTTCAAAGATTACCGATTACATTTAGTGACTTCATATTTTGCATGTAATATCCTTATTAGAACATGTAATCTCCTGTTTGTGTCAGCTGGTTCGTCAAAGAAAAAGCAGGGGAGAGGGGCGGCACGAATGCCGCGTGGATGGGGAAAAGATCACAGGATGCTTGTATTCACATCGCCGGATGGTAAAAGCATCGTCGGACCCGACGTAAACGAGTACAAGACAGCCATTGGGGTCATTGCACGCAACGGAGCTCGACTTCCTCTACATTACCCCACGTTCGCTGAGATACCGGAGACGAAGAGACAGGGTGCATGGATGGAGGTTCAGGTGATGCAAACTTCATTAAATTGAAAGTTCTTTTATTTCATATAGATTCTTATATATGGCCCTACCATCTTCTCCGGACCTGGTGGAAACCGTGTGAAACGGCATTCCAGAGTAACAGCGGATTACCAGACTCAGCGGAGAAAGTGGTCTTGGCTGACCTAAGGGAAGTTTGGAGGCACTGGAAATACAGCATCAAATCAACTTACTTCAATCCGATCGAGGACGATGAAGAAGCACTGAAGAAGGTTCCCTCAAGCAGGATTGTGCCCGATCAGTGGCCGAAGTTGGTTGAGTATTGGCGCGACGAGAAGGTGAAGGTACGCATAGGGACATGCCAAATTAATATACGTTAAATCTGCACGGGCATGGACTGAGAACTAAATAACTTTGATTGACGTAGCTTCAATCCAAGAAAAATGCGTCGAACGTAGCGAAAAGAAGCTTTCCACATCGTACTGGGCGGAAGTCATTCACGACTCTGGCAGAGGAGGTACCTTTTATTACAATTAAGTAATTAGTCATGTCATGCTCCATCCCCATATTTTCCTCTCCTGTATTTCATTATGTTTTCGATGACAGAAGGCCTTGTATTGCTGCAGATCAAGGCAAAGGGGAAGGACCCCGACAATCTGGAGATTTGGATTTCCAGTCGCACACAAGGCAAGGGAAAGGATGACCAAGAAACCGAGGAGATATTGGTAGAATAAATTCGTTTCCAACTTAGTTACAATTCAGTCAGTATTTACATCTCTAACAACAAGAGCAAGTTCGGCCTCACTTAAATCTTTCCTGTAGACTTATTTACAGAATGAGCTAAACAAGGTTCCCCCTGAAGGGCGGACTCCCTCTGTTCGGGAGACTCTGTACCGACGGGCCCTTGGGGGAAAGATTAAGAAGCGGTCAAAGGTCGACAGTGCGGCAAGTTCAGCTCATCCCCGCAGCGAGTCAACTGGTTTAACAGACAGTGTAGCATTCCAGCATGGGTGGGAACAACTACAGAATGGAATGGAGGAGCTGAAGGCAATGATGGATGAGTTCAAAACCATCAAGGCTGATGTGTATGCATTCATGCACAGAAACTCCGGAGCGGTTACTGGCCAGGCAGTAAGTATTCATAATCCCTGACCTGTTTGGTATGAGTATCCCATGAGATTTGGATGGCGAAGGAATTTACCATCCTCGGCATGTTATATGATAGGGCACATCTCGTATTGATTCAGTCCCTGAGATTCCCAGGCCTGTGTCCGAGCCAAGCATGACGGTATGATTCCGTGACGCCCTGGAGTTTCTTAGAAATCAGTGCAGTGTCTAATTTAGGCTACTCTTGACTGCGTACTACCTTATCCAACTCATATGCCCTGTCTGTTGTAGGTCGGCACACATGTGCTTCTATTATCCCGCACCGGTGAGAAAAAAGTTGTTGCAGAGGGACTTCTGCTCTGCCCCCCTGGGCCAGGTTGGTCCGGTATCTTTGAGGATGTTTAATTAAACTTTTAATATGCCTCAGCGAGATATCGTAGGTTTTCGTGACTGTTCAGGCCTCATATTGCGTATTAGCATGGATTCACTAAGTGTAGAAGTATACAATGATACGATCCGTGGATTTCCAAAGCGATGTAGACTGTTAATGTAGGGGTGGTAAAATAACTGCTATTATGACGACCCATGTTTATTGAAGGATGTTTGGTTTAAAGATCAAGCTGCAATTACATAGGAAATTAGGGTATAATGTGCTTCGCTACCTAACTCATGAATGTAATACCATGTACTGTACGACATGTCTGAATGTACGTACTCCTCTTGTTCTAGTTCCAAAGTATTACACTTATAATGTCTGTGTTATGACATGTTATATATACAGTTCGAACGTCTGTTGATATATATGCTTGAATGTAATCAAAAATTGCTCTTGTGAATGCTGTAGGTGACACACTTTCCTTGGTCAAGGTCTTCGTGACATCCGCGTCAGTCCCGGACACACCCCTTATTTTGCCGACCATTTCTGGGGCGGCTACCCTTCGCGATGTCGTCGGCGAAGATCCTATTGAGTGGAGCTACAAGGACGTAAGGATCTACTTTAATACCTTTCTTGTATTGCCTTCCGAAATTTATAAGAAGTATGACTTAAAGTAATCTCTGTGTTGGCAATTGCAGCTCATGCGCCGGGCTTGAAATGTTGGTACCGATACACCCATGTTAATTGCCCCGTTTGTCATATGGATTGAATGTCGAACCTGTCTTTGGATGGATTGTGTTGAGTTTTTGTTGAACTATGTCTGGAATTGATGCGTAGACCTTTGTGGTTTGAATTCGTATGGTGAAAAATGTGCCTAATGGGACTGATGGATAACCGTATTTGCTTATTGCGTTGTTTACTTGTGTTTGAACTGTTAAGCACGTTTTGCGGAACAGGTTGTTGATGTGTAGATACTAGTAGGCTTGTTCTATGGGTTGCTTTATTTTGTTGGTAGGTATGGAATTCAGATTTTAATATGAATTAATGTTTGCGCGGGGCGTAATGATGATGATGTTTATAGCAATCTTTGTATTCGTAATTTATTTTCGTATCATACGCATCACAGCAGGTCCATTTGTTACGAAAAATTTCAATTGCAGCGTACCCCCTGTTTTTCACAATACGCTATTTTTCCGTAACAAAAGGCCAGAAAATCGTTACAAAAAGTGGTCTTTGGATATTTGTTGTTACAGACGGTTTCGTGACTATAAGTAGGTAATATTTTTTTTACGGGGTTCAATGCCGTTACAAATAGTCGTAACAAAAACCAAGTTCTGACAACCGGTCAATGGAAAACACTTGTAACGCGAGGAACTTCCGTAACAAATACCGTAACTAAAAGTCCTGCCACACGCGCGGAAGGATCTACCTTTCGTTACGAGAGAAAATTCGTAACAAATATCGTAACAAATACCATACTTCAGGGAGCGTTGACCGATCGTAATAGTTACGAAAAGTGGCGTGGCAAAAAACATTCGTTACGCGAGTACACATTACGGAAAAAAGTCGTAACAAAGGCGTAGCAAATACGCAAATTGCACGAAATATGGCTTTTTGTTACGATTTTCCGGCCGTAATAGAAAACAGTTTTTTTGGTAGTGTTTTGTTTTTTCAATGTTTTTCCTTTGTATTATATAGCATGTTCTAGATTATACTTAATTTGTGCTCTATAGTTCTAATTGCAGTGCTTTTCGTATTTGTTGTGTAGAGTGTACGAAATTAGTGTATTTAGCGCTTTTGTTTTTTCAATGTTTTTCCTTTGTATTACGTAGCATGTTATAGATTATACTTACTTTGTGCTCTATAGCTCTAATTGAAGTGGTTTTCGTATTTGTTGTGTAGAGTGCACGAAATTAGTGTATTTAGCGCTTTTGTTTTTTCAATGTTTTTCCTTTGTATTATATAGCATGCTATAGATTATACTTACTCTGTGCTCTATAGTTCTAATTGCAGTGCGTTTCGTATTTGTTGTGTAGAGTGTACGAAATTAGTGTATTTAGCGCTTTTGTTTTTTCAATGTTTTTC